TTAATTGTGATTGCATATCATCAAGACTTGGTTTAACGAGTACATTTGGTATTGATAAAACAATATCAGTACGAAATAATGGATTTCGTACTTGTTCACGTATAACTTCTTCACCAACATAACGAATAGGTTGTTGTAAACGTTTACGTATAGTTTCTAATGAACTTCGTGTACATTGAACAATAGCATCAATATTTTTATTCCAATAAACAGTTAATAAATTAAAGAATGCACATGGTTGGCAATCATTACATCGTGCAACATGTCCTTTTGTATTCATTATAGATTTAAGTGTACATTCATAATATTCTGTATCAGTTTCTTTAATTTGTGCTTGTTCATTTGGTTTAAGACGTTTTTTAAGTGTTTCAAGTAAAAAATGAACAGCTTTTTCACATAATATTGTTTGTCGTGTTATTGAACCAACTGCATGTTGACATGATTCATCTGTTAATTTAGAAAATTCATCTAATGTTATAGGATCTGGTTGTGGTTCAGATAATTGTGTTTCAGCAATTGTTTGTAAAGCATTTTCAATACGACATTGTAAAATATTTGTACAATCATTAATAAGAATACGTAATTGTTCAATTTCTTGTCGAACATTAGCAATATCTATAAATAAAAGATTTTCTAGTTTTTGTTTTTACTCAAAAAAAATAAAACATACATTCATCAATTGTTAATGATGACCATGTAATAGCTACGAAACCAGGTCGTAATGCTTCTTCGACTTTTTCACGATGTGGTTTGAATAATGGATATAAATCTTTTGGAATTGTTGCATATGTTTGTTTTATTTCAGTTAATAATTCTTGTAATTTAACACTTGTTTGTCGAATTTGTTCTTCTTGTCGAAGTAATGTTGTTGCAACTTCTGGTATATCCAAACCTAATTTTGCTAAATATTGTGCATCTTTAATTAATTCTAATACTTGTGGATCAAAATTAACATATTCTTCCTAAAAATAAGATGAATTATTTTTCAAAAATAGAATAGAACTTTTCTACATACTTTTGTTTCGGGATTTCGAATAAGAACACTAGATTCCATACCTTTCTTAATTAAATCAATACTACGTTCCCAATTACGATAAAATAAGATTTCATATTGAAGTAATGCTTCAGCTATTTTATTGAAGTTTTTTATAACTAATTTACCTTCATCAGTTTTATTTAAATCCATTTTTTCTTGTAATAATTTTATTGGTATACTTATACGTTTATATAATTGTCTTGCCCATATAATACGACCAGCAGTTGGTGGTAAATTACGTGATAATGGTGGATCTTCTTTATTTTTTTCATAAATTTTACGTACTGAATCGAGTTCTTTACCATAATTTTGTAATAGTTTACTATATTTATCAGCAAAATCAATTTTAACACCTTCTAAATCTTGAAATTTGTTTAGAAACAATAATGATTGTTCAACCTATAAAATTTATATAGAGAATTATTTCATTTTTTTTTCTTCGATTCTTACTGTATATGATTTTCTAAACCATGCATCAATAAACATTTGAAGTTGAGCTTGAATATATTCAATTTGTGATTTAAATTCATTATAATCATTATCAAACTAGAATGTATTGTTTAATAAATATAATCAAGAAATAAAATGATACTTACATCCGGTTTTCGATGATCGAGTATATCATATGATTTTTTCTTAATAGCATCAACAACTGAACGATATTTAACAACAATGGGTTCTAAACCTTCAACGCGAATATTTTGTAAGCCACTTAAACTGTCAATTGTATTTAACACATCAGCAATACGATCAAGACGTTTGCAAAAAGCATCGAATTTGCCAAAAATATAGTTTGCACTAGAATAAAGTTCTTATTAATATAATTTATTTCATTAAATATTATGTACCTAAAATTCCATTGTCGTTCATTTGCAGATTCTGCTAATTTTGCTTTTGTTTTATGGAAATATGCTTGATATTCTTCATTTAATTTTTTACTTTCATTCATACGACCAATAAGTTCTTGTCTACAAAATATATAATGAAATAAATTAAAAATCTTCAATAAATATGATCTTACTTTGGAATATCCCATAGACGTGAATTGCCATTTCGAATATATCGTTTACATGTATTAATCATTTGATTTGTAATTTTAACAAATAAAGATGTCATTCGTTCACCTGAATTATAATATTGTGAAATACTATGTATCATTCGTACAGCATTCATTAAACTTGGAATATTTTCAGAAATTTTATTCTAAATAGATAAAAATCATTGGAATATATTTTAAAATAGAAAATTTAATGTGTTCTTACTAAATTATTTCGATCAAGTGTACTGAAAAATTTATCAAGTGTATATAGATATCGAACATTATCTTTTGCTTCATTTGCAGCATCAGTTATTCGTGAATCCTATAGATAATCATTGAAATATATATATGTATCATAAGAAGTCAATACATACTAGATCTTTCCAACGATTAATTGATTTTGATTTGACGATTTGAAGAACACCAACAACAGCGCGACATCGTGGAGATTTAATTTGTTCTAATAAATTATTAAATGTAGCCATACGTTGTTTCCAGTGAGTTAATTCAGCAGATGCTAACATAAAAAAATATATTCATATATCTTCTTTTGTTTTTAAATAACTGAATACTTACGTCCTACATCATCAGCTTCACGTCGAATTTGTTCACTTTCGGCTAAGATCTACAATAATAAAATTAAATAAAAAAACACCTTTTTTGTTTCCGAAAAGTTTACTTTTTCAATTTGTTTACACCATTTTTCCATTAATTTTTCACATTCATTAACAAAATCTCCATTTGTTGCCATTGTTTGATAATCATGTGGTGTTGCTAATGTATTTAATGTACTATCATTATCTCCTGGTGCTAATTTAACTTGATGAGCAATATTATCATTAGCACCATTTACAGTGGCTGTAAATTGATTCATAGCATCAAGAAAATCTTGTACATTAAGATTTCCACGATTTTTTAAAGCTCCCCAATCCTTAAAAAGACAAAATAAAGAATATTTATATTTATTTATTAAATAAATTCAAACAAACTTCATATTGTTGTAATAATGGAATTAAAATATTTGCTAATAATTGATCAATAGACTCGAGCATTTTACCATTGGATGCATCGAGTTGACCAAATACAACATCAGTAGCAATACTTGATGATGTGATTGCTTTTGTTGAATTTGGACGAACAAAATAATAAAGTGCACCAGAAAGAGGCTAAAACAAGAAAGGTAAATTAAAATGAAAAGAAAACATTTTTAACTTTACCGATGTTTCAACACCAGTACTAATCATAACACGTTTTTTTGGTCCTACATTTGTTAAACGACCATAAACTGGTTGATTTGGTTCAGGATTCTATTTTAATTAAATTAAAAATAAATTTTTGAATATAATTTTCCTTTACCTTTGGTTCTTGATATGTAAACATCAAAACTCGACGTCCACCAGCGAGGAAGAAATCATCGATACAATCGAACTATATTAATAAAAACGAATAGTTTTAAAGTACTTATTTTTTTAATAGGAGAAAATTTTTACTTTCTCATCGCCTAAAACATGATCTTCAACTTGCGTTGAATCAATACCAATTGCTTCGGATAACTAAAATTATTATTAATTATTTAACAATAGAATAAAATTATTTATTTATCATCTTACACTTGCAAAAATATATTCATGACGACCATCAAGCTACAAAGGAACTAATTAACAAACAGAAAGCTATTTAAATTAATATTTTTACTGTTATACGACGTTCATCACGAAGAGCTTTAGCTTGTCGAGCAAGTTCTTGTTGACGATCACTACCACCTACTTTATTTTTTGACTAAAAAATGTGTATAGATAAGAATATATGTTTTCATTAATATAGAAAATCTTACAGAAGCTACAGCTGTTGAAGGTGCTTGAGCTGTACTAATTGAACCTCGTTGTCCAGCTGGACGAGCATCAGCGGCTTTAAAAATATAAATATTAATTACAATAATTTTATTGAGAAAAGTTAACTAACGTTTTGAATTAACAAGTGGTGGTGCAACTTCACCACCATTTGGAAGATCAGACATCTATATATTCAAGAAAAAAACAATTATTAATAAATTCTTAAATTTTTCATTTACTTTGATACGAACTGATCGTTACTGTTAACAATAATTTATGCACAACTACAAGAAAATTCTAATATATATATGTTCTAAAAAAGAAATTGCACTCAGTAATTTCGTTTCGATTATATCACAGAATAAAACAGTCACACATAGAAACTCGAAACGTCTGGCTTATTCTTTTTGTATTACTTTTATGAATTTTCAATATTTTAAGTATAAAACTCTTTTTCTTCTCTCTCTCTCTCTCTCTCTCCTGATTGCCTAGTTGCAAAGTTGTATTATTGTTATTTAGAATAGAAAAAAAAAGAAATAAGAAGAAGTCTGTTTGTGTTTCCATCAACACCACTTTCTTCACTTGTTACTCTGTTCTCTTCTCTTTCAACTTACTTTTTTCTTTTTTTCAAGAGAGTAAAATAACACGATGGTTGAGATGAACTACGGGTGAAAGAAGCAATCAATCGAAAATTTTTCTTTCTGTTTGCTTGTCGTGAAGTCTTGATCATATGGTAGTGAATAAAAAACTTTTAGTGTTGTTGTCTATACCTACGTATAGATTGTTGCCAACAGTTGTTATTGATAGTAATAGTGCATTTGCCTTTTTTTTATATACATAAATGTTTATTTCACTTGCACATCGAACACATGAATTTATTTGCTCTATCAATTCTTCTTCTTTTTTCGAAAGAAAAAAACTCATCCAAAAAAAATGGCTAACAACGGGAAACAAACAAAAAAAAACACAGGATCGAAATATGAATATTGAATAGACAAATGAAAAAAAAAACAGAAACACCGTGATAAAGATTTGCAAAAAAACAAAATCAAAATTCTACAGGACAAAACAAGAAAAGAAAGGACACTGATTATTAATCATAATTTATTTTATAAATTTGTAAACGATTCTTCATTTTCACAGCTATATAATTTGAATTTAATCGACAAATATTTCTTATTAAATCATCTTTACCATTATAATCAATAACTGTTTTTATTGTTTCATCATCATCATTAAATATATAAAAACGTTCTTTATAATCCGTTGCTATCCATTGATTTCCATTCATATAAGATAATAGATGAAGATTATAATCCGAATTAATTCTTCGAATTAATCTCATATGATAATCATATAAACATATGCGATAACCAAAATTTAGATCACATATATTTATTGCTACAAGAAAAAAACAACGAAAAGAATTATCAGTAATCATATATATTAAACAATACTAACCTAACATTAAATGATTAGCACGAATACGTGCTGTTAAACGAAAATTTTCACCACAAAATTCTTCTGCTGACCAACCTAATATAAAAATAAAATAAGATTGAATAAAAGAAACAAAGTTGTGTGTTTTTTTTCTTACGTTTAATTAATTTCCAATTAAAACTTTTTGCAATAGACCATCGTTCAATACATTCTCCATTTTTATTAACTAAAAACATAATATTATCTGAACATGTAATTGAAGAAAATTTCTTTCGATCAATTGGTTTAACTTTATCAATCATAGTTAAAGAATATTTTTCAGGATTATATATAAATAAAAGATATTGAGTTAAAACAAGATAATATCCAAGTGTTTCACACCAACATATATCTCGAATAAAATCACCTGGATGTTGTACTTTTATTTCTAATTGATGAATTTTTCCTTTTTCATTATATAATAATAAATGTGCACCATCACGTAATAATATATGAGAATTTGAACATGCCATTGCAAGATTATCAGTTAATAAAGAATATTCATACATTGGTTTTTGTTTAAATACTTGTTCATAATTGACATATTCATCATCATCATCATTATTATTATCATTATTATCTTGATCGGAAAAAGTGCTTTGATTATTTAATTTTGGTTGAATAAAATAATCAAGTAAATGACGTGTCAAAGATAATTTTTGATTTAATTCTTCAATTTCATTTGATATAAATGTTTGATGAATATTCTGAGTTTTATTATGATGTAAAAGATTTTTATTTAAAAAATTTCTTTGTTCAATTTTAAATATTTCAAATTCATGAAAAACTTGAGAGCATATTAAATCAATTTGATTTTTTTTCTTTTGATAAATAAATGCGATATGTTCAACACGATCTGTTTTCCATTCATCAATTATTGTATAAAAACGTAAACGTTGATTTTCAAATGGTATATAAGAAGATGTATTTGTTATATCTACAGATGGATATTTAAATAATTCTGTTTCATGTGTTAATTGTTTTATTTCAGATTTAATTGTTTTTAAATAATTTACATCACATTGTGAACATGATGAATGAAAACATTGTTGAATTGGAGATGATGATGATGTTTTTGGTTCTGAACAAGAATTTTTTGTAGAATCTATTGGTTCAACAAGCATCATTGTTTCATCTTGAAATACCATTAGAAATTGTTCGCATAAAGGAAAGATTATATAACTATTGATTGATTATTGAATCTGGTATATGAATGAATATAGTGTATCAAATATGAATGGTCAAAATAAGAGAATCTATTTCTTACAGTGACAGTCAACGACTTTTTTCTTTTATTCCAGATGGCACTACATGATTATAGGGTTTGTTACATTGGAAACATTTATAACTAAGATCGAGAATTTGATATTTAAATGGAATAACTAAAATATATGTTTGTAGAAATTCATTTAATGAATAACATATTATGAAAGAATGTACTACATAGTGATCGATATTTTATAGTTTTGATGACGTATATTATTTGTAAAGTCAGATATTGTTTATTTAATAGAAATCTGATATAAAGATCCGTCTGGTAATGTCAGATTATGACTGAAAGATCTAAATGACATTTCTTACAAAATGTTATGATGGGAAATGATTTGTCGCAAGATCCTTCTAGAAAAAAATAATATTTTGATACAATTCTAGTCATTTTTTTGTTTAAAGTGCTTAGGTGTAAAAAAGTAGATTATCGATTATTGATGAATATTATCAATGGCATAAATACAGTTCCTTTATATAAGAACGAAAGTATTCATTTTTAAATGAAACTATTGTTTCCGAGAATATTAGTTTCCAAATTTGTTATTCAATTCATATATAACATTTCTATACCGTTATATGCAAAAATATTCATAATTCAAAATTTTGAATCTTTATGAACATGTATATATTCATATCGTTTTTTTGCCTAAATAAATAGCAATATCTTTATTTACTGTACTACTTGACACAATTCATGTCTATTGGTAAAAGAAATTACAGTATGAAATGTCACAAGACCAATTTTTATAGCGTCGTCAAACGATGTACTAATGTCAACAACAAAAAAATTGCAACTCCGATGAATTTATGTTTTTTTTTCTTGTGCCAATAAATTTTTTTATGTAATCTCATCATTTTCGGTATTATTCTTCGCTAATAAAATAATTTGAATTTTTTAATAAGAATCGAACGAATTATTTTGAATAACTGTTTTATTTTTTGTTAAATCTTTTCGTAAGTTGGCAAAAAAAACCTCCGCTGACAAAGCAGCGCACAAGACAAAGAAAGAAAAACACCAGAAGAAGAAAAAGCAGAATAAAGAAGAAGAAAACAGAGTGTACATATATGAATAAATTCGAAGTACGCAACAAGAATTATATACGTACACGTCGAGCACGCATAGAAAATAAGTTTCTTTTTTTTTTGGTCTACACATCTGAGAAGAATAGTTCCATATATGAAGACGAGACAGAAAGAAAACGAATCAGGTAGTAGAACTAAAAACATGCCAAACAGACAAGGAAAAAGAAGAAAGAGATAGAGAGAGAGAGAGAGACAACAATGGTCAATCGAGACAAAAGTATCACATCGAGAAAGAGCCAAGAAAAAATGTTTCTTTTTCTGTTTTACATAAATATAAACAAGAAAAATAGGAAGAGATGGAAAAAAAAGAAGAAAATCATTGTTTTGATGATTGAGATGCTGGTGGTGGCTGTGTTTGTGTTTGTTGACGAGCATAAGCAGCAGCCATATCAGCATAGCTGTTCGGAGAACTAAATAAAGTAAATGATTGTTAAATAAAAAATCCTATCTATACACCAATCAATTCTTACATGGAATTTGTCGTTGATGATTGAGAAGAAGAAAGCCCAGTAGCTTGTTGCATATACATATCATAGTACTGTAAATAAATTGATTGAAATAGTTCAGGTCCAGCTATTGATGGTGGAAGAGGTGGAGGAAGAAGAGGTTGTGGTGGAGGTGGTGGTGGTGGAGCATTTTGTGATGAACGATTTTTATTATTATTTGTATTGTTTCCACCAGAACGATTTGATGATGATGATGAACGAGTGTCATCAAATGGCGGAGGTGGTTGAGAAAAATTACTTTGAAATGATGAACGGTTATTATAAGATGATTGATCATAACGTGATGGCACTGAATCGTAACGACGAGGTCCACGAGATGCATTACTAAAAATTCATACAGAAATAAAAAAAAATATAATAATGGAAATTAATTTTTTACTTGTCTCGATCACGATCTCGATCTCGATGATAATTACTACGATACTCTGATGATGTATCACCGGTTGGATCATGATAGGATCTTCGAGTAGTATTATTATTATTGTTATTATTATTATTATTATTTCCACTACTATGATGTCTGTTACGATCAAATTGATGATGATGATGTGTATCATAATCAGATGTTGTGCCAGTATTTGTTGAACCAATTGTATTATTTAACTGTTCGGATCTTGAAGATTTTGTCAATGGCATTGTTGATGCATGTTTAAGACGAGAATCTTTTATATCTCTATTATTATTTTTATTAGTTGTAGAACTAGTACTATTATTTGATTGAGATGATGAACCCCAACCAGCTTTTCTATATGTTTCATCTTGTTCTGATTGACGATTTTTAATATTTGATTGATTATATTGATTATGTTGTTGTGATTGTTGATATTGAGAAGGTTTTTGTGTATGACTTGATGATAAACTTTCTTCACTACGTTTTTTAACAAATGTTCGATAATTTTTTCTAAGTTGACTATCAGTTAATTTCGTAGTAAATTTTGAAACAAATGTCCATAAATGATGACGATATGTTTGATAATCATCATTTGTTTTTGTATTAAGAACAGTTTCAATTTGATCACCTATTTTTAATAGACATTTCTCAAATTCTCTTGTATAATCATCATGGGAATCAAATGCATCTTCAGGTGCATCAAGTCGACTAAACCATTTCTTAACTGGTCGAAGTAATTCTTTACACTAGAATTTAAAACAGATGTTATCATTTAAATAGATTTATTATTAAATATATATATATACCTGTCTAAACATATCATTCGATGCATTTTCTTCTTCTTTTTTTGGTACTTTTGATCCCTAAAATTATCAAGATCATATAAGAAATAAATCTAAAATCTTATATTTTACTTTTTCTTCAGTATTTGCATTCGTTGGTTTCTTTTTCGTTGATTTATTCGTTGTCATATCTTCATCTCCACTTGAATTTTCAATAATTTCTTTTGATTTTGGATATTTGTCCGAATTAGTAGTTGGTGGTCCATTTGTACGTCCTTTTCGTTTTGATGAATTTGGACCATTGTTATTATCTTCTGCTGTTGTTGTTTTTGTTTTCTTTGGTGGTACTGATGTAACAGACGGTTTTTTCTTGTTTCCTATATCTTTCTTTTTATTTAATGGATTTTCATAATATTGTTTTAATAAACGTAAAAGATAATCAGCACGTGTTTGTAAATGATTTGCTTGTGGTTTTAATTGTTTATCATCTAAGAGAATTTTTGATGAAAGACCTAATTCAGGTTCCATTTTAATTTGTTCCCAATTTGAATATCCATATTCATAAATACCACGTAAAAGTGCTTTATCATCTTCTAATGTCCATGTACACGACCAATTAACTGGTTTGATTTTAATACCTGATGGAAATAAAACTGATTTACGTTGTTCATTATTTGAAAGAAAAAGTTTTTTTAATGGTTCAAAATCTCGTATAGAATTTATTAATTGTATTGCATTTATTGTTACATTATGTAAACGTATTGTTGCAATTTTTTCACGTTGATTTGCTGTTGTTGATGATGTTTGTTCATCTTTTGGTGATAATGATGATTGATTATTTGTTGTTGGACTTGATTCATTTATATGTTGAACAGCTAATAAACATTCATTATATAAATGATTAGCTAATTCTTCAATATCTTGTCGAGATTTATCTTCTAATTCAGCATCCATTGTAATTAAATCTAAACGATGTAGTGGATCAGAAAATTTTTTAAAACTTTTGATAAAACGTCGTATTTCATTTGTTGTAAATTCATTCAATATCATATCTATATGTGAACAACGATTACTATTATTATTATTATTATTGTTATTATTATCTAATTCGGATGTTGAATTAAATAATTCGACACGTTTACGACTTCGTGGTGGTAATGCAGCTGTTAATTCAGCTAAACATTCATCATCAAATTTTTGTCTTTCTGATTCTGGTATAATATCTTTCCAACTTTTATTTCTATTTACTATTTGTGTTGGTTCAATAATATCATCTTCCATTGTTTGTATATTAGCGATTTTAAATTGTGATAAAAGATCTTCACTACTATTACGTAATGATGAATCATCATCTTGTCGTGTTTCAGCACGACGAAGTATTTCATCAATATCAATTTTTTGTGATTCTTCTTCAATTGAACCTTCTTCATTGGTTGAATTTTCTTTAAATAAATCTTCAGCACCAAATTTAATAATTGTATTTAATTCTTCTTTTGTTAATGGACGATTATCAGTTGTTGATGATGTTGTTGTTGATGTATTATTTAAATTTTGAAATGCATTACGACCTGTTGTATCCATACGTTGAATAACTAAATGATCTAGAACCATTTTTTGTTTAGCACGTTCAATAATTGTTTCTTCAACGGATTGTTTAGCGACAAGACGATAAATATTTACTTGTTTCTTTTGACCGATACGATGTGCGCGAGCTTGTGCTTGAAGATCATTTTGAGGATTCCAATCACTATCATAAATAATAACTGTATCAGCAGTAGCTAAATTAATACCTAATCCACCAGCACGAGTTGAAAGAAGAAAAATGAAATCATCGGATCCTTCACGATTAAAACTATTTAATGCTTGACGACGTATTTCACCTTTCATCGAACCATCAAGTCTCTACAAAAAACACAAAAATGATGATATAGAATTCTCATTATTATTTCTATCGTCATTACCTGGAATGGAAAACGTCTTAATTTACAATATTCAGCTAAAATATTAAGCATTTTAACCATTTGTGAAAAAATTAAAACTCGATGATCGCTTGCACGTAATTTTAATAAGAGTTTATCTAATAATAATAATTTTCCACTCCCTTTTATAATTTCCTAAATGAACAAAAGAATAAAAATAAATAATTAAAGTTTGTTTTTTGTCCTTACATCAAGTGTAGCATTATTTTCATCATCACGTTTAACAAAAAAAGCATGATTAGCACATTTTTTTAATTCCATCATAATATTAATAAATGATGGTAAATTTCCTCCACGTTCATTAGTTAAAGCTCGATAATTTCTTGTTAATATCCATTTATAATATTGTTTTTGTATTCGTGTCATTTCAACACGTAAAATTTGTTCAACTTTAGCTGGTAAAGATTTTTCAACATCACGTTTAACACGTCGTAATAAAAATGGTTCTAATTCTTTATGTAATTCACCAGAACGTTTAACTGTACTTGTATCATTTGTTGTTAATAATGATGAATATTTTGAATCAAAATTATTCCAATCATCAAAATAATTTGGCATTATAAAATGTAATAATGACCATAATTCTTTGAGAGAATTTTGTAATGGTGTACCTGTTATTAATATACGATGTTGGGATTCAAATTGTATTAATGTACGATAAAGCATTGAATCATCATTTTTTAAACGATGTGCTTCATCAATAAGAATACAATTCCAGCTTATTGATGATAAATATTTACTATCTTTTAATAGAAAATCATATGTTGTTAATAATGCATGGAATTTCAGTTGTTTTTTATTTCCAGATGCATACATTTCAAAATGACGAATTTTTTCACGTGATACCATATCACCAAGATAAACAATGGTATTCATTTGTGGTGCCCAACGATGAAATTCTTGTGTCCAACCTTGGATTGTTGATAGAGGAACAGCAATAAGAAATGGTCCATGAACACCATGTTCTTCATAGACATATGAAAGAAAAGAAATTGTTTGAATTGTTTTACCTAAAATAAAAGAATTTATCTTTAAAAATAATATATTTTTAAGCAGAAAAAATTTACCAAGTCCCATTTCATCAGCTAATATAACTGAATTTTGTTTACACCATGAATGAGCTAACCAATTTAAACCTTCTAATTGATAATCTCTTAGTTTAAATTCAGTTTCTTCTGGTGCTAAATATAATGGTTGTACAGTAATTGGTGCAAATCTTGGTCTTATTATCGCCGATTTTTTTCTTCCACTTCCACTATTTGTTTGTTGCTGTTGTAATTGTAAATCTTCTGTTTGTTGTGTTAATCGAACATTATATTCATCAATTTTTGATTGAAATCTTTTTGAAATTAAATTTCCATCTTCCCATGTACATTCACTATATTGTAAACCATCCCATTTACATAAATAATCATATGTATTATCTTGTTCACGATTTTTTTCATGTGCTATTATACGTTCAACTTGTTGATAACCAGATAATGCTGTATCAGCTAATTCTTGTTGACATTCAAATAATTCTATTTCATCCATATTAAGATTTTCTCGACGCCATGCACGTGTTTGATCATGTTGTTTAAGAAAATTTTCTAATATACGTGAATTTTTCACATGTGATTGTTGTAAACTTGAACGACTCTCCCATGTATTATGTAAATGTGACCAATTTTTCCATTTTATTAAAAATTGTTGTTCACCATCAGCTTGTGTTTCGTCATCACCATTATAATTTGCATTTGGATCACCAAATTCATCAATATTATAGATTGTTGTTGATGGACCTGTTGCATCTTTTCGACCAAAACGTACTTTTAAAACTTTTTCAATAACTTCCGATGATGGTTCATCTGTAATTAATGTTGTACCTTCACCTGATGATGATAAATTATCGGATGTTCGAACTTTTGTTTGACGTTTAGCTGTATTTAATTCAAGATCTGTGATTAAATTTGTTTTTGTTTGTTGATGATATTCATTTGAATTTGATTCATCATCATTATTGGAATTTTGATCATCATCAGAATCAGAATTTGATGATGAATTACGTTGTTGTTTTTTTGCTTTACGTCGTGCTTGGCCATTATCATCATCAGATTCTTCATGATAATTTATTGGATTTGATGCTGCTGTACGACGAATTTTTCGTTTATTTGCTGATGTAGAAGAATTTCCACCGGCACTTGATTGTTGACGACGAGGTTTCTTTGATACAGATGCAAAACTTGTTGATGATGATGTTCGTTGTCGTTTACGACTGGATGCATTATTTGTAGCACTTTTTGAACGTTTTGTCTAAATATAACCAAATTATATTAAATAGAATGTAGAATAAATATTTATTGTATAAGAATTAATGGTATAGAAATCCAATAGTTTTTGTATTAGGTTGAAGTCAATATTACTAAATCTATTGAACATTTTTTTGGCCATTCAGTAAGTTAATGATTGAATTTATTTTTATAAAATACAATCGATAGTTTATCTATATTAACTAAGGATTCAATCATGATAGTGGCCAAGAGTAGTGGGGCAGTAACTATTGAGATATCTCCTAGTAATATCGTTCATGATTGATAAGTATGTTATAAACATATGATGATGATGACGACTGATTCTTTGTATTAGTGAACGTCTGTATCATATAGATAATAATGTCTATAAGTTTATTTCGTAGTCATAAATATCTAAGTTTATATAAATTTTCAATCAAGATTATAACTATTGATAACTATTGTCATATTCAAATACAATTAATCAAGAGATTACAATATTTTATATAAGCCCAGTCATTCTTTTCTTTTTTTCGAAATATTTTCTTGTCATCCTATCGATATACAGTATCATATAACTATTTGGCCAATATTAATCACTCTAAAAACTATCATATTACGCTTATACTTTTGATTACTAAATTATATAAAAGACAAATAATTAATCTGTAACTCTAATATTATTTTTCATCTTGATAAACTATTTACTTGTGTTTTTGATTTTGTCTTTGCTTGTCCAAATCCTCGTTTTGATTTAGGTCTTGATTTTCTTTTATCATCAAAATCATCATCATCATCATCATCATCTTCGTCATCATCTTCATCATCATCATCTTCACTTGGTTCTTCCTCTTCGTCTTCATCATCGTCTTGTTCACTTGGTTCTTCAACATCATCACTATCACTTAGCCTTTCCTGACGTTGTTCAGATTCATCGGAACTATTTGAATCATTTTCATTCTTTTTTGTTTCTGTCGTTGTTGTGGTTGTTGTTGTTGTTTGTTTTTGACTATTACGTTGTCGTGATAGAAGAGGTTCATCTTCTTCATCGTCATCTATTCTTGTATTTGAAGAAATAAAATGTGATAAACTAGAATTTTGTTCAATAGGATTTGATTCATCATCGTCATTTAACTGATGATCAAGTGTTGTTCGATAATCACTGTTTAACAGATGTTGAGTATTGGAATTTCTATATGTAGATAAATAAAAAATGAAGTTTTCTTTAGGTAAAACAATATATTCAAGAGAAATATATTTTTTCTCATTGCCATGCAATTATCTGTCAAAAAAAACCGCACAACATTTTTCAAATGTAACTTTATTGGTAATGGACCGAGAGAAAAACAAGTACTTGACCTGGGAATTTCCAACTAGAATCATATTTATCGATAGATTTATGATATTTTTATTTATATATTTATTTATTCGAATGAATTACATTTGAAAAGCTAAGAAATGTTTATTTTATCTTGAAAAACTATCATATTTTATCATTACATGTAACGTCCTTTTGACCCAAGGTCTTGTAAATTACAATAAAATATATCACTAAATATTCAACTACATATTTCAATCGTTTTTATTGATAAAAAAAACGAAAAAAAATTGTTGGGAAAATCATAAACGAATATTTTTTTATGAAATGTAAATAAAATAAACAAATAGTCTAGTCGACCTTTTTTACATTTAGATTATATTGAACTATATTTATATTTAGTTTATCTAGTCTGATTTAGTTACCTGAACATTGATTGAAATAAATAATAATAATATCATAAGATGAGCACATACACTCAACACATGGGATGTATATATGTTATTTTATTTTCGATTTTTTTTCTTTCACGATTACATCGCCATCTTGATTATGACATACTCCAGACCTCTTTTCTAACGAACGGACGATAGCGACGCCTTCATCATCCACTTTTGTCTTCACTAGATGAAGTAAATATATGAATAGCACGGTCGCGCAATGTCGCTTGCCGCCGTCGATAAGTTATAAATAAAAAACGACAGTTGACTGTGAAGTAGCGACGACTATTATTGATTACTGAAGTTTATATATTATCAAGCAATAGAAAGCCAAATTTGAACAAAATTTCATCAAAACATATGATATTATCAAATGAAAAGCAATTGAGAAAGTTCGAAAATTTTAGACGAACTTTTGTCCGATTGAAAACTTTCAAGCATTAGCTGACTTACCATAAATTATCATTGTAATCATCATCTTCAATTAAATATATCATTCCTGTAAAAGAGAAATATATAGATAACACAATAGAGATAAAATGATTATTGAAGAAAATCACCATGATACATTACTTTTACTTGATGAATTCATATTATTTGTAAATCTCAATATCCCAATATGATTCATCTCATTTAAGAATAAATAAAAGATTATGATTCTGTTTTACGACACTATTTAATGAAAATTTCTTTTATGAAGAAAAAAAAAGTGAGAAGGGACAAAAAGGTAAAATCACCAACAAAAAACATACATATTTGTTTGATGAGAAAAAAAAATTAGAGATAATTTCAATCTACACAATGAGAAACCGGTGGTATATGTGAGAAGAAAATGGGATAAAAAAAAGAAGAAGAAGAAGAAAAGAAAAGATTGTACATATATGAATATAGGTATATCAATTATGACAATAAATAAAGATAGCAGGATAAATAATGGAAGTATAAGAAAAAGACAAGGAAACAGTGCTAGTGATTTTTAAAAACAGAAAATTAACGAAACACGCACACTCACAAAATATAGAAAAATAATAGTATGATTGAAATATTTTTTTTTTGCTTTTTTTTCGTATTTTTTTATATCATGGGATACAGATTACATTAGTGAGACATATAATTTGGAAATTAAGAAATAGAGAGAGAGAGAGAGAGATTATGAATAAAAAAAACGTATGTACTTGCAGAGATCAGGAGTATTAATGTTCATCAGATCTAACAGGTATAACGTTGAGATGGAGTCTTTTTTTTTTGTAAATATTTTGGTTTTTATTTTGAATCAGGTGACTAGACATCAATCGAAGAAGGTGATGATAATTAAATGGGTGGAATGTTCAGGGATCGACTACATTTGATTATAATAAGAATGTTTTGACAAAGACAAATAAATTAATATAAAGCATTGCACATGACGATAGGAAAACTATTTGATTTATGTTTTTCTCTCTGTCTCTTAATTATTATAAAAGTCTTTTTGTTTCGTTTTTTGATTTAAAGATCACCAAATGGATCATTGACTTGCTGTTGATTTGGTTTTGGTTGTTGACCGAATGGCGATGTACCAAATGATGTTGGTTGAGCAGCAAATGGATTCGTATTTGCTCCCATTGGTCGTGCAGCCATACCACCAAAACCCATTTGCTAGAATAAATATATAATTATATTTATAACAATTATTTACATAATAAAAGATGTACTCAATCCAAATAATATTTTTAAGAAGATGTATAGTTTAATATACACTTCATTTTTGCTAAGCTATTCCATTGAAGAATAATCTAATCATATTAAATTATCCCAAGCAAAAGCATATTATGCATTAAAGCTTTCTAACTAATTTTATTAGGCGATGTTAATATAGCATTTTTTATTTAGATTGTATATTCAATGAATTAAGTAAAATTATTTTACCAACTATCCCCCCTCAATAACACACACACACGCGTGCTAAGCAATATGATATTATTACCACTGGATAATAAGGACGCATTACATTAGTCATGTACATCTATATAAAAACAAATTTAATTGTATTTCGAAGTTGTTTACATGATTTTTTTTTATTTATGATATAATACTGTCTAATTGTGAATCTTCATTTAATAACTATAATATCATAGAATTGCTTCTTTTTATAAAAATTGAACTTCATAGTTTTTCTAATTTCGAATATGATCTTGAAATAATATTTTAAATATTCTATAACTGATCGTCAAAATAGTGACAGAGATTCTATAATATATACCATGAAAAGATCCTTTTTATCCGGTTGCATGACATCTGAGGATGAATGACATTAATCTTTAGCTGAAAGAACTCATTATAATTATTTCCGACTTTTCATTATTATTATTTAATATACAATAACATAAAGATCATTTGTCAATGAATACAATGATCAATAACAGCAATGAAGAAGAATAACGTATAGTTTTTACTTGAAAAATTCGTATTCATTATCTTGATAGACATTTTATTTTTTAATTCTAAATATCGCTGTTGAATATATAATTTAAAACGAAATTTCATAACAGTATCATTGTCATGATATGCGTTCTTAATCTTTATAGACATTTTCGTATACTGATTCAATGCATAATCTGAATATTTTTAAAAAAAAAGTGCGTATAAAAATCATCTTTTATTCATTGTATTTCCTTTTTTTCCAATACTAGTCATCTTCGATATTATAAAGACAAAAGATTCTTATCTATGTCATGATTAATAATATATGTATATAGATGACACATTTAATATATGCCTTTTTTAATGTATATTTGCAATTAAACAATGCAATGTCTCGTACTGTGTGTGTGTGTGTGTGTGTGTGCGAGGATGTAGACAGTAGTGCGGAATATTAGTTAAAGATAGTTTTTATAGTTACTTACGAATTATACTCGACTCAAAGTTGTTTTCTTGATGATTTGAATCGTGTATTTCTTCATATTAAAATACATCGATGATAAGTCCAGAAAAAAGCTCGTATAAAAGCATTTTTTTTCTTGATAATACTGCTACTTCTACCACTACATAGATGAAATCAAATGACTGACTATCGTCAATGCAAAAAAAAGAGAGGTACAGGGAAAAAAGAGGGAGAGTCGTGTATGTGCGCCCGCACATATACGCACACACACACATAAACACACACAGTAGAGAGAGACATTGCTGCTACAACTAAACTTAGTGTGCACAAAACGTTAATGCAACTTGTGTTTTGTATTTGGTTGTTGGTTGCTTGTCTTTTTTTTCAGTATATATGTGCACGTCTTGTTGCTTATAAAGCACATGTGCATAAGAGAAACACAGAGAGAATAATGAAAGTAAGGAAGGACAGCAACTCGGTAGTTGTTAGTTATTTTTTCTTTCGCCAAATAAAACATTTAAAAAAAGAGAGAGAGAGTAATGTTGCTTGCCGTTTTGATGAAGCGAAAAAAAAGACTGAAGAAATTGCAAGCAAATGCAAATAAATCATATCTGACTAGTATGCCGACAAAGGACGAGAGAGAGAGTGAGAGAAGAAAAAAAATAAATGCTTGAATGTGTTTGCATCACTGAAGGGCAAAGATAAGAATAAAGGAAAAAAATACTTAAATAAATATATATATATATATATATGTGTGGGCATGAAGAACTTGAAATAAAAATAACTCAAATAGAAATAGCAGCTGATTTATGAATATAAAAAAGAAAATAGCGAAAAATTACGTACCGATGGACCACTAGGTGGTGGTGCAGCAAAAGGATTAGTTAATGAGGGTTGCGGTGGTGGTGCTTGTTGCCACATTGTATTTTGTTGAACAGCCATCTAAATAAGAATACATATATTATAAAAAAATAATAAAGCTTTCAGGGTAAAAAAATTAAATATACTTACACCACCAAATGGACCACCCATTGGAGGTTGATTTGGCCATGTTGTACCAGGACTATTCATACTTCCACTACCAATACCAATTTTTTGTTGATTTTTACCATCACTAGGTGCCCATTGATGATCTTTTCTAAAAGTGCAAAGGGAAAAAAATAGTTTTCAGTATAAATAGAAAATAAATCTTTACCCAATTTTCGATCGATCTTTCACATCAAGATTTTCAAATAATTGATTTAATGATTGATTAAGATCACCTGGTTGAAGTACTTTGGTAGTCGTTGGAATGTTTTGATTATTAGAAAATAATGGTGCTGTTGATGTATTATTGCCTGATAAGACCGAAGTTGGTTGAAGAATATCATCGAAAAAGTTTGCTAAAATAATAAGAATTCAAAAGGTTAATTTTTGACTGTTGAATAGGAAATATTTTATTTGACTATATGAACATGAACGTCTACATGCGATCGTAACAATATGAAACATGCTTACAACATTTAATAAACTACCTTCGGATATATTCGTTGCTGTCGATGTTTCATTATATGAACCTTCTTCGGCTTTTTTTATGGGAAAAAAAATAAGTTTTGTTAGATTTTTGTTGATTAATTTTTATTATTAAAAAGAATAAAAAGGGAAAATTATGATCCTTACTTTTAGGCACTGATGTATGAAGAACATTTGATTGGAATGGTTGTTGTGGTTGTTGTTGTTGAAATGCAGGAAAAGTATTTTGATTATTACTAAAAAATGTATTTGCTCCTGATTGTGATGGCGGTGTCGCAAGTGAAAATAGATCATCAGTTAATAATTGTTGCTGTTGAACAGTTGCATTTTGACCATTTGATGATGATGCTGCCGCTGATGATGAAGATGGTTGTTGAGAAAAGAAATCTGTATCACCAAAACCATTTCCACTTGCTGTATGAGCGCCTGAACTATATCCAACTGGTGATGAAGTATCTTTATTCTAAATATAAGAAGAAGAAAAATAAATAAAGAATAGTTAAATTTAAATAAATCAAACTTTATTAAATTGCGCAAGTGCTTTCGCTTCTTCTTCAAGAATTTTTTGTGGATCATCATTATCATTAAATATTAAATCACGTGAAAAGCTTTTAAGATCTTGTTCAGTTTGTTGTCTAAAAATAAATAAAACAAAATAAATATTTACCAAAAAGCAAAGAAAATTTCTACCTTGAGATTGATCCTTGTGTTGGAAGTTTTTTACCTTCCATATGTGCCAAATGATTTTCCAAAGCTTCCAAAAGACTACTTGGAGCCTAGAATACATAATTTATATAAATTTTGTTCATAGAAAAAAAAAATTATATAAATCAAATCTTCGAATTTAGTTTGAATTTCAATCATGCAAGTTTTATATCCCTTTCCCTTAACTTACTTTATTATTTTCATGAATTCTCTATACATTTCATGGTCATTAAAAAAAAACAATCGATATCTTATTATAACTTACTCGTGATAAATCAGGAATTTCACTTCGATCCATACCCGATGTCTAGAAAACAAAAAAATACACATATTATTTTCTCATACTTTTTTCTTTTGGCATATTAAATGTTAGTATTTCATGTATTAGAATATAGATTACAAAGCCATTATTAAAATAAAGATCTTCTCATGATTTTCCTTTCTATTTAGCTTAGCAAGACAAACCTGATAAACATAAACTGAAAGTCGCTAGAGATAGATATGCAAGAAGTATATTAGATATGTGATACACACAGAAACACAAGTTTGAGAAAAAATTTATTATTATTTCAAACAATTCATTTGATACCTGTCTTGAATAATCTCGCTCAAATAATTGTTTATATTTCTAATTAATTGATTTTTATTTTTTGTATTTTAGATATATCACTTAAAATTAAACAACTAATGACTTACTTCGGCTACTTTAAGAAATGTTGAAACTTTATCTGTTCGTTCAAGAAATCGTTTATAAATATCCAATCCTTCTCGACATTGTTTTTTATTCATATCAAAATATTTTTCTAGAAAAATAAAAAAATTCTATAGAAAAATAAAATTCAAATATTTTTACCAAGTAAATTAATCATTCCATCGTTAAATGCTGCATATAAACGTATCAGATCTTTAATTAAAAGAAAAAAACAACTATTGATAACACCATTTGTTAGTTCATTTGGTGTAACCTAGAAAATAAAAGAATTAAGAAATGTAGTTTTAGATATTTGAGTATAGTCCATGCTCTCATGCTTAACTGCAAAATTTCTCAAATCCTAACTTACGGAATTTTTTAATTTTTTTTCCTAAATTTTTTTTCTTGATCAAAAAATTTTATATAGAAAAACAAAAACTTACTTCGAATTCAAGCAAAGCATCAAGTTGTTTTTGAAGAATAGGTAATGCTTTCAGCAACTAAAAAATAAATTTATTTTCAATACAAAAAAACTATAATCTAACTTTTTCAGTAGGCATTGTTCGAAGTACACCATCGTCTTTTCTATAAAATATATATCAAAATTATAAATTATATATATATATTATTAAATCAACAAACCCTCGTTTAATTTTACAGAAATCAAAACCTGTTAATTTATACGCATCTCGTTTTTCATTTAAATAATTAGCATAACGTCGAACATAACTTGACATATCACCACCCGGCATTCCCATACGATCTAAATAAGCAGCTGGTTGAAGACGATGGTTATGGGAAGCCATATATGCTTCAAAACGCTTTAAATAATAATAATAATAAAATTAATTTTATTAATAAAAAAAAATTGTTTTTACTTCATTTCCAAAGCACATTAAATGATGAATTGTAATTAATGATTTATATGAAACAACCCATGATGAATTTTGTGTACGTTCAATTAATAAATCAGCCAATTGTGGTATTGATACATTCATTTCATTTGTTGCTTGTAAAAGAACTTTAAACAAAAAAAAAAAAAGAACAATATAGAAAATTATCTTTTTTTTGTATCGTTAGAAATTCTTACAATCCAAATGTTTTCTTTTAGGACCCATAATTTCTTCCGTTGTTGCTTTACAAACAACTTTAGCTAATGCTTGTCCAGCGATTGTATTTTTCGCTGCTAAGAGCCGATCAACAAGACTTTGTCCACCTGGTTGCATGCTTGAAATTTCTAGTCAATAAATACAAAAGAAAAATTTGTTAGAAAAATAAAGAGTTTTTCCTTGATTGATTATCGTGCTAGTGACACTATTCGTCAAGGTCATTTATACAATCAAGTAAACATCCAAATGTTACGATTTAAAATTGATTTGCAAAACAAAACAATTCTTATTCTCAAGAATAGAAAATATCTTGATTATAAATATGGAAGAAAATCATGTGCCTATTTTTATTTTCCGAATGTCGACACATGTATGAATGAATTTCATTGGTTTATTTAATGGAATAAAATAATTTATGGATTCCATAGGAAATCAATGATTATTATTTCCAATGGATATTCGAATAGATAATGAAGTATTTCAAAAATTGAAATTAATTAAAATCGAACAATTCAAAGAAAATAATCAAACAATTAAATTCAAGTATAAAAAATATCCTTTTATTTTATATATTCTTAGTTTATAATCATATTTTCATGTTATTTCTCCTTGACTTTTTCTCATTTTTAAGTCATAAAATTTATCGTTTATTAATTAAAAAATTACGTCGACATTTCCATCGACAACAATTAGCTAAAGAACGTGATGAAAAAATTCGATTAGAAGAAATTCAAAGAGATAATGATCCATTATATCAAGCATGGATTATTCAAAAAGAAAATCTTCGAATACAAAAAGAAATTGAAGAAGAACAAGAAAAGTAATGATTTAAAATAAAAGATAAAAAAAAACTGTTTTTTTGATTTAGTGAAAAATCTCGAAAATTACGTGAACAAATAGAAATTAAAAAACAAGAACAATTACGAAAGAATATAGAAGAGAAACAAAAAGTAACAAACATTGTGAGTTATTCAAAAAGAAGTTTTTTAATTTGTAATTATTGTTGAGAAGACAAAATCATTTATTTTTCGAGAAATTCATTTATATTTTAGTCTATCTAATGGTTAAAACTCTAAGCGATAATGTAAAATGATAGATTTAGATTATATACTGAGTTTTTCCTTTGCATAAGTAGTAAAATACCCAATAAATATTCTCTTTCAGAATTCATCAACTCATAATCCATTTGTATCAGTTCCAATAACAAATGGTCCAAGTATCGAACGACCTGTATGTTCATTTTATTTAAAGACAGGTGTTTGTCGATATAATGAACGGTTTGTTTTATTATTTATTAGTTTTTTATAACGATTTCATTTGATTTCATAGATGTCGTCGTACACATAATAAACCAGATATAACTGATACTCTATTAGCTGTAAATATGTATTCAAATTTTGAAATGCAATATGGATTAGATGAAGAATATGATTTAGGTAAGAAATAATTCTATACTTTGTAAATGATTATATATGAATTATCTTTTTTTGTAAGATATTGGTTTGGAATTTGAAGAAACTGAACGATATGAAAATTTTAAAGATTTTTATTATGATGTTTTACCAGAATTTGAAAGATTCGGTCGTGTAATAATGTTTAAAGTATGTTCAAATTCGGAAATACATTTACGTGGTAATGTTTATGTACAATATGAAACGTAAATCTTATTTTTTTTAGTTATATTTCGAATTCTATAGATTTTTTCTTTAGAGATTATCAAGCTATGCAAGCATATAAAGCTTTGAATACACGATATTATGCTGGTCGAATGGTACAATGTGAATTTGTTAATATTCCAAGTTGGTCAACAGCTATTTGTGGTAATGATTTATTTGAAATATTTATTTATTAATTCTTTTTATTTTCAAAGGTTTATCTCAATTTGGTAAATGTTCGAAAGGTCGTCGTTGTAATTATTTACATGTATTTCGAAATCCTCCATTAAAATCGATTGAGAAAGATAAAAAATCTACACGAAAACATAAACGATCAAAATCTCGAGATCGTTCGACTAAACGAAAAAAACATCATCATCATCATCATCATTCATAATTATAAAAACTAATGTTTATTTTATTTTCTAGATAATTATTTATATACTTTTTCCTTTCATTAAAATATGAGTGAAGATAATAGCACAACTACAAATAATAATAACGAACCAGGTTCAGTATTTTCTGAACAAGATAAAGAATTAGCTACAAAAGCCAAACAAGAATATGAAGCAAGACTATTTGATGGTTTGAAGAAAACTTTTTAAAAAATATTAAATAATCTTCTTGTTATTATTATTTTAGTTTGTTTAAAAACATTACAAAAACTTCTTGAATCATATCCAGATGATCCAAAAGTTCTGTTTAATATTGTATTAACTGAATATACTTTATCAGGTTTTCAAAAAACGGATATGTTTAAAACACAACTTAATAAAATTGCTGAAAAAGTAATTATTCTAGCTTTTTTTCTTCTTCTCTCGTATAGATAAGAAATAGAAGTATTTTTCTTCCTAATTAAATTACAGCTAAATGAAATGACAATAGACTAAGAGAAATAGATAAATGATACTGATCCAAATTCGAAGGAATCTTTTCGAAACCGGTGACTCTTTAAAATGTCATTGAAACTCCATGTGAGCGTTTCGTCTGTTCTTTTCATACGTTCGTATTATGACCTTCATCGTCTACAGTTGCAATCACAAGGATTTTCCCTCATTATGAATATGATTGTATAAATTTCTATGCCATATATAAGTTAAAAATGAGGAAAAATTCGGAGCTGTGAAAGCGCATTCAAGGATGCGAATAAGAGCTACTACATATGAAAGGTAGATCAGCAGAGAAGAGAACGGAGCGGTACAAAGCTTTATTGTTCAAATTATAGCGTTACACTGTGTAATCTCAGTTATTTCAAAGAATATCATTTTCATGTATCTGACAAATCTGTAATTTTCTCTTAAAATAAGCCGGTCTTGAAAGGATTAGTAGTATATTAATTTATATGAAAGATAAATATTTATAGATTTTAAAAAAATCTTTTATTTAGCTTCAATGCGCATTAGATAATATAACAACATTGGAAGAACCTGATCAATGTACATTATTCTATAATATGGCTGTTCTTCTCTATCATACGCGTCAATATCAAGCAGGCTTATTAATTGTTGAAAAACTTTTTCGATTTATTGGACAAATTGGTAAATATTTCCTTATTAATAATAGAATAAAATAAAATAATTTTCTTTTTCTTTTAGATGAAACATTATCATGGAAAATTTGTCTTCTTTTATCTGAACTTGATTTATGTACATTTCAAGTAAGAACTTTATTTTATTATTGTTACTCTTTACAAATATATATTATTTTGTAGCCGGAAAATGCACTTGCAACAGTGATACATCTCGAAAAATTACTTAATGAACGAGCTAGTCCACCATCAAATGGTGTTTCACATAGTCCAAATATGCTTAACGATAATCTAGAAATTTTAAAATCAAAAATTAGTTTGGTTCGTTTTAAAAAAATTTTTATCTGTTCTTTAATTTTAAAATTTTAGTATAAAATTCGTTGTTTACTTATGCTTAAATCATTACGAACATGTAAAAAAGAATTAAAACAACTTCAAAATACAAATCAAGTAAAGAAATTCGAATTTCTAAATTAAAACTTTTTCCTCTCGTTTTTAGTCATCAACAAGTTTAACTTATGCTCGTGCAAATTTTGAATATTTAAAAGAAAATCATATTCGAGCATTAAAAATTCTTACAAATAATCAACAAACAAATGCATCTTCAATACCACTTCAAACATATTCTTCTCATTGTTTTTATAATAATCTCTCATGTATACATTTTCATTTACATAAATCAGCATTTGCATTGTTTTATATGCGTCGTGCATTAGCAGAAAATAATCGTTTACTTATTGAACAATTAAATAATAATGATAAACAATTAATTATTCATCATATTAATAGAAAATATGAAATTTTATATAATCTTGGTATACAATTATTATTTAAACATCAACCACTACCAGCATTTGAATGTTTAATTGATGTTATACATATTTATTCGAATAATATTCGTTTATGGTTACGTTTAGCTGAATGTTGTATTATGATATATCGTTCATCAAATGAAGATATATTTAAATTAGAAGAGAAATTAAAATGTGTTTTACAATCAATTGGAAATGGTTTTCATCATAAATTAATCTTAGGAAATTGTAATACATCGACATCATCAAAAAAATCATCAGTAAATAATGGAAATGAAAATTGTTCAATGGAATTTGCTTTATATTGTTTAAAAAATGCATTAACATTATTACCAAATATAACTGAAGCTGATTTACAGTAAGATTATAGAAAGGAATAAAATAGATTATTCTGTATTTTTTGTTTTTAGAAAAGAAGAACCGAAGTTATATCCAGCACCACCAGGAAATCCAATGCGAATAGGAGATATGTTATCATTAAAATATTCAATTTTAACATCTGCCGCTTATGTTTCATTATGTTTAAATGATTTTGTTTCGGCTAAAAATTATGCAACAAATCTATTAAATGAACCACGAGCGTCATCTGGACATAAGTGAGTTATCTAAAAATTATTTATTTTATTACGTTTTCTCTAATATAGATATCTAGCTCGACTATATTTATCTGAAAGTTTATTAGCAATGAATAAAATTGAATTAGCACTCAGTCAACTTGATGCAGACATAATTAAAACTGAAAATGATCTTTCATTTAAAATGCCTGTTACAACAGTAGATAAAGGTAAAATAATAAGATCAATTATTTATTTACTGATAGTTCGTTTATATTTATAGAAGAGAAATCTGATACACCAGAAACAACGCCACCTATACCAAAAGGTAAAGAAAATTATTAATAATTCATTTTTGTAATAGATAATAAATATTATTAATATTTTAGCTGATTTAGTGACTTGGTTACCACGTGATGCACGTGTTGGACAAGCTATTGTATATTATAATATAGCTGCTATTTATGCAATTACAAATGATGTTGAAAAAGCGTTTAAACATTTCAATTTGGTTTGTATTTTATTTATTCTTTTATTTATTAATCCAATATTGTATTATTTGTTTTAGTTTGTTAACTTATTTGGCAAAACACAACCAGCTCATTCATTTCAATTAAAATTCTATTTAGATCTCCTTGATGGTAATTCAAAAATATTTCTTTCATTTTCTTTTTTTTTAATTAAAATTTATTTTTGTAGGTAATCGTCATCGTCTACAAATTTTATTAAAAGAAAATTTTGGACATTTAACATCGAATAAATCTTTTGTAGCTCTTCCAACTCCTACTCATACATCATCAACCAACAATTCATAAATTTGATATTATCAAAAAGCAAAACTTTCGTTTTTTTTGTTCGTTATGTTTATTGTTGTTGTACTGAGTTTTTTTTAAGGTTATCTTTTTTTTGTTATTGCATATAGACGACTTGATTTCTCTTTATGTGTTTTTTTTTAAATATAAAACAAATGGATGATCAGTACATAATACATCTTATTGAAAGATTAATAAGTCTAATTAACTCTATGAATTAGACTGAATACATCCGGTAAATGAAAATTTTATTACTTGTCCCTAAAGGAGCAATTTTTCTTTTTAAGTGCATATTTACATTTAAAAACGATAGAATCTACTAGAATATGTTGATCATCTCGTATGCCCCTATGAGTCAAACAAATTGAATTGAAAAAAAAATAGAAGAAGATAGTCTATTAGACATACTATACTATAGTTACATAATACATAAATGTAGTTATCTTTTATTATCTTATTGTTTTTATCGTATACTCATTTATATTTATCTTTGATTATAATTGATAAATCTGAATAATAAATTTAAAAAATATTTTTCTTTTATCGAGTTTCATTTAATTTGTTGAATAAATAAAAAGAGAATATAAAGATGAAGTTTTATTTTCTGATTCACATTATTGCGTACATGCATATACATATTTATATTTCAGAATATGAAGCCCAGAAATAAATGACAAGATAAAAATCTTCTTTGTTTTTTTTTCTGTTTCTTCTTTTTTTTGGAAAAAACTAATCGTTGGCCATGATCACACTCAACAGAAAAGAAATCAATATAAAGACAGTATTAATAAAAAGATCAAATACAATGGATATATATATGTATATAGAGAAGAGTAGTAGTAGTAGTTGCTGTTGTTGTAAATACGTAAAAAGAAAAACCACAAGCAAATAAAAGACAACAAAGAGATTTACAGCGATACAAGACAAGAAAGATTGAATAAAAAGAAAAAAAAAATCAAATCGAGAAAACACATTTAAATAGATAAATTTCATTTATAGGCTTGAGTGTATACGAATCATCTGTTTTTGTTATTCTTTTTTCCTTAACCAATCTAACTTATATCACTGTGACAAAATGAAAATGAACATAAGAATATTAATATATATTATATACAAAAAAAGAAAAAAGAAAGATATTACGGCCAATAGTTGTTTTGAGTTTTATTTTGTATAAATCTCTTCTTTTTTTGACGAATCGATTTTGTTCGTGAAGAGCGTCTGATGATAGATAGATTTTTTTTTAAAATAAGAAAAAAAAGGAAACAGAAAAAAGACGAAGAAGAAAAGAAATCGAAAGATTCTTTCACTTGCTACCACCACAACATCCTCCATCATTCCCAACTGATCGTGGATTTGATGGTTGATCAACTGTTAGCGATTGACCATCATTACCCCTTCGTCCACCAGGTGTAGTAGATGAATCTTGATTTTTCGGTAATTTTTTTGCTATTGCCATAAATATATCATTAACATTCATTGCTGTTTTAGCTGATGTTTCCATAAATATTAAACCATTTTCTTCTGCATATGCTTGAGCATCAGCTACTTCAATTTGACGTTTAGCAAGTAAATCAGCTTTATTGCCAGCTAATGCAATAACAATATTTGGTGCTGCTTGACGTTGTAATTCTTTAACCCATACTTTAGCTCGACTAAATGTATCGGCATTTGTTATATCATAAACAACAATAGCTGCTTGAGCACCACGATAATACATTGGTGCTAATGAATGATATCTAATAAAAAAAAAGATCATATAATTAAATTATTTTTTTGAATGAAATAAAAGTATACCTCTCTTGTCCAGCAGTATCCCATAATTCAAGTTTAACTGTTGTATCATCGACAGATACAGTTTGTGTAAGAAATGCTGCACCAATAGTTGATTCTTGATATTCATGAAATTGTCCTTTAACAAATCGAAGAACTAATGACGATTTACCAACAGCTGATTCACCTAATAAAACCATTTTAAATTGACATGTTCGTGCTGCTTGACCATTAGCTGTTGATCGATTAGCAGCTGCATTTGTTGTTTGACGATTATTACTAGTCATTGTTTAATTTTTAAAAATATGAAAGGAACGTTTTGTTTATATTTTAAACTTCGGGAAAATACAAAATGAAGGAATTGGGAGTAATTAATCTAAAGAAAAAACAAAATCAGATATCAATATATGTCATGACTTATCAATCACACCCTCAGCAAAAGAAAAGAAAAGAAATCATACGACGACGGCAAGACAGCCATGACAGGCAAGTGTTCATGTGCATCTTTAAGGAAGCGATATTTATTGGAAATATTTAGCGACATCTGTTTAAAAAAAAATTCTTTATAAAAATGAATTATAAAAATATATTACATTCAAAATATTTATTTTCTTGAATTTTATAAAATAAAAAGGAGAAAATAAAATAAATTTAAGATTGGTTTAAATCGTACGATGAATATATTGACTCACTTGTACTCAACAGGAGATAGACTAGAGAGAAAATGTAGGAGAGGGAGGGAGAGAGAGATAGAGAGACAGACAGCAAGGTGTGCTAACTGATCTTTTCGTACGCTCTTCTCATAAACTAATATATAAATGAACGCGTTTTTTTTTCATGCTCTTTATATTTTTTCTCTATTACAGACAATAACAAATTATATATATATTTTTTTCATGGGGAACTGTTGGCGTATGCCCGAAGATCATTCTGGTTTTCTTCATATTCCTACTACTGATTTTGCTTCAATGCCTACATCATCAACACATTCTTCGTCTTCAAATTCCTATTTAACATTTACACATCCAACTTCAACAATGTCTAATACACATATGCCTAAAGTAAAGTCTATAAAATATTAATATTTAATAATATTATCAATTGGTTTTAGTTAATGATTTTAAGTCGTTCATCGACTGATCTTAATGCTATTAAAGCTGCTCAATGTCGAAATCTTGTTGAACATATACCAATAATTAATTACAATGAAAATACAGTAAAACAAACTGAGTAAATATTTTTTAAAATTCATCATTTTTAAATAAAATATCTGAACTTTTTTGTTTTGTTTTAGATGTGATATTTGCCTTCTTGATTTTATACCTGATGAACAAGTACGACAATTACCATGTGATGGTAAACATATCTTTCATCCATCGTGTATAGATCAATGGTTTGAAAAAAGCTTAACATGTCCACATTGTTCAGCAAATGTAGATGCTGCATTACTTCTAAGATTTATTCCACATTCAAATAATAACGATGATGATGATGATTGGTAATTGTTCGATCATCAAAGAAAAATTTTAAAAAGCATAACTCAACATAATATGCAATATATATATCTTGATTATGTATATACTCATTTCTATGGTAGATCTCCTGTGTATACGTAAATTGTGAGAGAGAGAGAGTGAAAAAGACACGATCTGCATTGTCTATGAACTATTGTGATAATTTTGTGCGTGACATTTCTTTTCTGTATATTTTAATGCTTATATCTGTTTTTTTTAAACGATAAATACAGTATGTTATCTCTGATAAATTGAATCAGAAATAGTTGGTGATAAATTTTGCAAAAAAAATCCTTCTTAAAAAGATTCTATCAAATTGAGTATTTATTTTTAATTCGTAAATACTTCATATTGCCTCGTGCATTTTTTTTATACAGATAAAAACATGTGATTGTTTCAAATGATGAAAAGGTCAAACGAATAATTTAGTTCTTTCTTGTTATTCTGCATGATAAAATGATATTAAGATAAAAGAATGCTTGTGATATTTGTTATTACGTTACTAAATATTTCTTGTCATATGACAAATGTCGAATGTTAAAGAAAGACTAATCTGAACTTAAACTCAAGTTTTGACAACTTCATTAAATAAATTTTTACTGATAAGTATAAAACCATGACTTTATTTAATATTAATTACATAGATTTAGGAATAAAGCGTTTTGTTGACTACGAAATACATGTGTTGATCTGAGTAAACTAGAGATTGTTGTAGGAGATGTATTAACACTTTTTCATTATAATATTTGTTACAAATAACATGCACTAGGCATAGAATATATATAATACTTGTTAATATTTGATGAATAATAATCTCTAGAGAGATTTTGCAATTGAATTTTCGAAAAAAAACAACTGGTTAGGTTAGCAAATAGAAATTAATTAATTAATTGTTCATTTTGTACAGTATTCGTTTTACGTATATTTGAATAGCTATTATCAAATTAACAATGTCTAGTCTTTCAGTATAGTTTTGAATTTTATTTGCCAAGCAATAGAAAGAGATTTTAAGTAAATTTACATTTTTATTTACTATTCTTTTAAAAATTACAAAAAAAAAGCAATCCAGCACATTGTATTGAATAGTATATCTATTAATTATGAAGAAGATGAATGACAAGAAAAACAATAAATGTAGAGTTCACTTATTGAACTAATCAACTGTAAGCATAGAGATTCTATTTGTTATTCATTGTTTTTATTATCTTTCTATGCTACAAAACTTGAAAAGTATAAACACTTGATAGATTTTATCAATTGTTCATTCTATTATTTATATGATAGTAAGAAGCTTAACTAAATATTATTATTTCAGATATCTTATGTAATAATATATCTGATATTTAATTAGATGTCTTTTACTTACATTAATCTAGATATCTATCAGCAAATCTAGCTGGTCGTATTTATTTTAAAGTACATATGTATGTATCGTATGTAATATACGCCAAGAAGAACAATGGCACATATAAGAATGAAAATAAACAAAAAAAAAGTAAAGTAGGAGAGAACATACGATAGACAGACATTCAAATCAAACTAAATACTTTTTTTTGTCTGTCAACAATTATTATCATCATCTTTCAATATGTAGAAGGGATTATTGATCAATCTATGAGTGCAATAGTCAAATGCAATTTGAACAAAAAAAAGAAAAAGGAAAACAATGGTAAGAATAAGCGAAAAACGAAATAAAGAACAATAGACATTTGTCAAACAAAAAAGGAGGAAAAGAATGACATATACAAATAAAGGAAAAGAGAGTACACAAATGAATGCAAAGATGTCATGAATACATACAGAGAATCTGACACACCGAGAAAGGGATAGATCTCACTGTATCACCAATAAAAATAATATGTTTACATATATAAATAATTATTGAAGAGCAGTCTTTTTTCTTAGGGCTCTTCATTCCCCATCATCCACCGGATATGACAAATAGAAATGAAATAAATAAGAACTATATAAAATTATAGATCTTATTTAGTAGTCGAGAAAAATTCTGTTGTTCGTGATGAAGTTAGCACCGATGGTGATGATGATGGAATTTGTAGAGTTTCATCTGCAAAATTCTCATCACCACTTGTATTATCAGTTGAATCAAAATAAACTGAACTTGGTCCTACAAAACAAGAAACAAATAAATATAAATCAATTGAAATTTTTTTTCGTTATTTTTACTTCGTTTCAATGGTGAACTTGTACAATCATATGAACGTGTTGTACGTATTTCAAGATCGGATTCATGATATTCTGTTTGATTTTTACTATGATTCAGTTTTCTTCGTACTTTTGATTTATTATTTAAACGAGATAAAGACGATGATGAATATTGTTTTTTATGAAACGTTTTTGGCGATTGTACTAATGGAGGAGAATGAACATCATTCCAATCCCAATCAAGTGCATCAATTGTATTAAATACTGGTCGATTATGTTGATGATAATATTTTGATAATGAAGGTAATATTGATGTTTGAGATTGAGAATATCGTTTTGATAATATATTTAAATCAGTTGCAATATGTTCAAGATCAGTATAAAAACGACTTGTTTGTTCTAAGGCACGTTCTAAACCTTTTTCGGTTGACATATATGACATAACATGAGATTCAGTTGCAGTTTCTAAAAAGAAAAAATTAAGAAGATTTTAAATTAAAATGAAATAATTTATTTACGTGTATCTTGAAGTAAAACACCACGATTAAGTGCGGTATCTGAATCATATCTTCTTGATCCAGTATACTGTAATATATTTGTTCCATTCGTTGAATAATTCATTACTGATTCATCATCGTCATCATCATCATCATCGATAATTGGAATAGTTGATGTTGTCGTTGTTGTTGCTGTGGTTGTATCATGAAGACGTTGTTGATTCCGAGATGATTTTATTGTTGAAATTTCTTGACAATCAACACCTGAATCACCAGTTAAAGAATTGGAATGATAAGATTCTTGCAATAAACCAACTGTTCCTAATGATGAAGATATTTCTGACCATGTCAATTCATCTGATAAATGACTGGTTGTAAACGTTTTATTTGGAATATATTCATGATGTTTATCAATAGGTAAACCAAGTAAGGGTTCACGATCTGCTGAATCATTTGAATATTGTTGATATGATGATTTATTAACTAATGTTGAATTTAAATTTTCTGATAGTCTTGGTTTTAATGTTGTTGATGAACGTGGTCGTTTTGTATATGTTACAGTTATTTCATTACCATTTGAACAAAATGACGAATGTTCTTGACCCATGTGTAATGCTTTTGCCTATTGCAAAATAAAAGAAGAAAAAGAAAATGAATAAAAGCTATAAGTTGACCTTTTTCGAGACATGCTTTAGATTCATTAGAAGCGGTAAATACAAGATATAGAACTTACATCACGTTTATTATTTGACAAAGACGATAAAGTATTATTTGAAATAGATGTTGTTGTTGATGATGATGATGAAGGAGCAAGAAAATTTGATATAAGACGATAAAGTATACAACAACCAACACCAATACCAAATCCAATTAAACAACATATTGTCTCATTTCGACGAACTAAAATCATACACATAATTAATATAAAAAACAAATCTGATAAATGCATGATAATTTCTAATAGGGATCTATCGTTTTCATATTGTATAATTCTCATATAAATAACACAATTTTTGTTTTTATACATCTGTTCTTTCTTCTTTTTTTCCCGTTAAGATAGATATTCACATATTAAGGATGACAAGACTATTTCTTTATGAGAGAATGATCAATTGCATCTATTTAACATGTATATCGAAATAGAGAAAAAAAATCAAAAGACTAAATGGATATTTATGAATGATCAATGAATAACATAGAATGTGAAATATTTTCTATGATCTAATTAACTGTTTCGCTAACAATAAAATTGTTTTCTGAAACAATATACTTTCTAATTGAAAAAGGAAAAAAAAACGATCATGATCTTTTCATTAGTGTTCATATGAACAGCTATATTTGAATGATTGTATACGACAAAAGATTTGCGACATATGTTTCATTCATTATTTTGTAATCTTAACCAACTGGTGCACATTACCTTTTTTCCATATGTTTCGCGGCAGTACAATAACTAAAAATTTTGCTGGTTTAATATAATAATTAAATAAAAAACGTATTGGACGAATAAACAATATATTCGGAATAATAATATACAATGGTTCAGTAGTAATTAAATTCCATAAAGTTGATTTTCTATTATCACTAATACTTGAAGTCATGACGATCGAATCGATCTGATTACTGAATTACTTTCATTCGCATTTCTCAATGTGTGTATATATATATGTGGTTGAATGATAAACAACGTTCTCTCTCTCTCTCTCTCGTTCTCTGCCTTTAGCATACACATGTGTTTTAATAGAGAGATACATATACAGCAGAGTGCTCTCTTTCTCTCTTTGGACGAATGTATGTCGCGTAAAGAGAGAAAAGAAGAAGAAGAAAAAAACGAAAAAGAAAAGAAAAATAAAATTTTGTCGATGAATTCAAGATGAGTGAATCTATACTAATGTTTATAATATTCAGAGATCATCTATAATATCCTTTGTCTTCGCCTCAACACACCCAGACATTATCAAAAGGCATGTTTTTGTGTTATGCTTATAACAATATAAGAAAATAAGTAGTCGTCAAATTCTTCCATGCTGATGAACATATAATAAATCGATGACCTTTTCATGATAGATAGATAAATAGAATCTATGAACTAATACAATACATATTGAAAAGGGTGTATAGTAATAAATTAATCAATATATATGCATGCTTATGTAAAACTAATCTATCAGATTTCATTATTCGAATGAAGATAAAAGATTAATAATAAAGATCCGATTACATTCAGGTTATAATAATTGAAATAGTCTTAAATTTCAAATGAAATTAGTTTATTTAAACAGTTTACAATTTGTTCTATGTTTATGTCATACATAATAAGAATGTTATGGCTAAAGTCGTCGTACGCATAATTGTTTTGTATATATTTATTGAAAACAAGCGGAGCAAAATTTTATATTAGTTACTTTAAAAAATTATTCAGTCACAGTATTGACATAAAAATATCGCTAGTTGAGAAACGTTATGTAAACATATATGATGCTCGCTTGTTCGTTTTTTTTTTTCTTTTTTCGTTCACACTTGAGTAATAGCAAGTTAAATCCAAAAGAATAACGATCTAACAATATGGTGAGAAAAAAGACAAGTCAATCATCAAGTGAGTTGAATATTATATTTAAACTAAGTTTTATTTTCTATCATTATACATCGATTATTTCCAGTTTTGGTCGATCATCATTTTCTACTTAACACGTTAATGAAAAGAAAACAAATCGAATGATTGTTAATTAAATTTTTGTTTTATTTTCAAATAATCTTTCTTTTTTTTTATTTACGACGTTCGATATAAAGACAACATAAAACAGAAGATATGTGTTTCAAATACAAATCTTGTAAATGTAAACATACTTTCAATCAAATGGAAAGAAAAGTACGTGATAAAACTATAAGATAAAAGATGTTATCGAAATAGATGATATGATTTAAATTATCACCAAGAGAACTATAAAGTCTTTCTAGTTATCAAAGAGATAGATGAATTGGTGGTTATTTAAAGGTCATCATATATTATACAATCGAATATTTTCTATTTTAATGTTATTTTCATCTATTATGAAATATCACAAGAATCATCAATAAAAGAAAGAACTAAATGTCATCTTAGGTGACATATAATTAAGTGCTATTATGATAAGTGAGAAATGAATAATGATTCATATGATTTTATTCAATGTAAAAAGATAAATATAGATGTGTTCAATAGTAATGTGTAGTAATGGGCGAGAGAGAGAGAAAGAAGTGTGTCCAACACATTTGAATATCCAACCCTCGTCTTCTATTTCCGATTTTTCTTTATCTGTCATTTCTATTTATAAATCTTAGAAACTTTTAAATAATCTTACTTAAAGGAAAAAAAGAAAGCTTCTTAACAAAATCTGATTAGATATAATAATATTATTAATATCTATAATTCAATAAATAACTATTTTTCTTTACAATAGAAAAAAATCTCTAACTTACGATTAGATATTCAATATTCTGTAAGAATTAATAGGATGATTTTAAAAATTATTTTTTTATTAATTTTAAAACTAATTTACATATCTCTTAATCCTCTGGAAAAGATTATTTTATAGGGAAATCTTGACAATCAGCTGTCAAATAGAATTATTTTTTTATTCTCAAAGCTCTATCAGTTACATATTTCTTTTTATGAAATCGATTTTCGATTTCTTTTTCAATTCTCTATAGAAAATAAACACACACACACACATGTTAGCTATTCATAGAAATAATATTTGTATTTTCTTGTTTTTTCCTATTCTTTAAACATGATACATAAATAATCGACAATGAAAACAATACTTTCTTTTTCTTCTATTGAAAAAATACGATTAAATAAATAAATACATATGATTTTACAACTCTATTAACGTATTAAGTTTTCTTTTCATATAATTATGATATTGACGAAAAAAGAAGGTTTCGTTATTACTGAAAATAAAAAGAAAACATAACTTACCAGTTAAATCATGTTCGGACGAATCATTTAAAATTACCATATCCAAATCAACATAATCGTTCATTTCGTTTACGTCAATATTCGATAAAGAATATAATATTTTTAACAAAAACGTTAAAACACTGAAGCTCAACATAAACGAGGTATAAGACGCTCGTCCGGCAATTCTGCTTTCTGAAACTATGGACACTGCTTATGTCATCAAATAAACGTATTGTCAGTGATGCACATATAACGTTTATTTGTATCGAACGTATTCACTGATGACGTGCATATGCATTTCTTTAACTATTATACATAAACATACACAAACAAATAATGTGTCTTAGTAAACATTCGTATTTAAAAACATATATGTATATATATTTTTATCCAATGCGAATATAAGAATTGAAAGAAAGACGTATCAACGTTTAGAGTATATGCAAAAATCAGTAAAATAAAGATATAACCTATGTAGAATATAGTATATTGATTTATTTTTTATCAATGATACAGATACAGGGACAAGAAGAGATTGGATAAATGTCAATGACAATAATCGAGGTCAACAGATAATCAATATGATATCTTGCATAATTTAAAAAATGTACTGAATGAACACAAGAGAATATCATGAAATGGTCAGTCTAGACTACCATTACTTTTTTTTTCTCTGAATAATAGCCTCAAGAGAGAAATACAAAGATAAACAGAAAATTAATCATGCATAAATATATATTAGTTATGATATACTACAGAAAAAAAAATACTATCCTATTATCTACATATCAACACATCATCACTGTTTATTCTTCGAACTTTTATTTCTATAATAAGACTTCTAAAAACGAAACGGAAACTTTCTATAAGAAAAAAAAAAAGATCAATAGTCATTGTAAAAGTATGCTAATTGATTACTATATGAGATATATATTAAAAATCATTTTGTCATAATAAAGAACAATATGTGACATATAGAATGTTTGTTCTGTAACTATTGCACAATAAATATATCCGTTTGATTTTATTATAAAATAGTTGATTCTCTCTCGATAAATATTTATATATAGATAATCAGAACCTTGAAAACAGGTTACACATAAATTGTCTTTTCATAAGTAAGCAGAAAGAATGATACATAGACGACAGATTGATTTTTCTATTAAAAACTAATAGACAGCTTTCAATTATATATAACCTAAAGAAAAACAATTTGACTGAAGAATATTTTTACTATATCTAATCTTTTTTTTTCGTTAGTAGTAAAAAATTAAATAAAATAGATTCGGAAGACTAATCATCTTACCATATTGAATAAAAAGTTGAACGATACATATTGTTAAGAGAAGCTTTGTCATACGATTCCACTTCTCTCTTATCATGCCAGTCATAATTATTATAAATAGTTGTTGATTAATTGGTATGTTTTGTCAATACATTGATATCGACATAACGTAAACTGTATATATATATACATATATACAGCACTTGAGTAAATCAGGATTAAATATCTGTGATAGATCGACAAATATTTTCTCCTTCTACTCGTTATCATTTACAACATCTGCCTTTCTTGATTTAATGATGAAAGCTTAACGTAGGAAAATATCGTCTTATCCTGCTATCTCTTATTTCCATTTTCTTCTTTTGTTTTTTCTTGATATATAGAAATAACAATATATATATATATACCAATGATTGGTATAGATTTGTTATATATTTTTGTGTCTGATATATTAATCAGTACCTTATGTATTATGATATGATAACAACATCATCTTTTGGCGACAGATGACAAGTGTGTTTCTTTTTCGATGTCTGTCTTTATAGATGAGCAATAATAACAACTATAAAAATCATAACAACCTCTTTATCAAAAAGACAAAATGTTAAATAGTAACAAGGGATGATCGTCCTTTTCTTCAGGTTTATAAACAAATATCTAGCGAGGAAAAAAAAATATTCTTATTCTGAGTAAACATGATTGGTAATGAAGATGTGTCTCAAAACGACAGCGAGAATTAATTGGTAAAAGAAATAAAAGAATACTATGATAATAACAGTGGACAAACTAAGGTTATATATGCATGGTGAGATTGTCATCTGAATTAGAAACATAGAGGAAAAAAAAGAAGAAAATAACGTGGGAGGATAATCATTATTATCATCTATATATCATTCATCTATCATCATTTGTTAAAAGAACTACGATATGTTGATTGTTTTGAAAGACTATGCTAAGTGTTGAAGGGTCTATTTTTTTCCTATATAATATATATATATATCTATTTCAAAAGTAAAAATAGACGTATTGTCGATAAAATATCATAATCGATTACAGTGAGAATATTTAATACGAAACTTAATTAGATCTTATCTATTATTTAAGAGTAAATATCGTGTTAGGTCGATTATAATATTTCACTTTAATTTCCTTTTATTTGACACTCATAGAATGGAATAAATTAAAAGTTGGTATATCAATTTACCTTTGAATATAAGCCACGGATCATCATACAATGGTGGTAGATAAATACATATTTGAAAAGCACGCATGATACATTGTGGCTGAAGTAAAATGAACCGTTCACGGTTTATTAAGCGTGTTAATGTCTCACTGGATACAACCTATAAAAAGTAAATTTATAAAAGATGAGAATCTCTTTGTGAATATCATTGTAAAAGAAGAGTATACAATGGATTAACAATTTTCTTTTCATTTAAAAGAAGAAAAAGGAAAGTACACCTCTTAATCTTTTCGTCTTAGTATTTTTTCTTTCATTCGCGTAATTATCATTTCCGCCGAAAAAAACAAGACAATGTCTTGAATTAAGTGTACATATAAAATATGTAAATCTTTTTTTTCTTCTGTTATACTAATAAATTACACACATACATAGATTCAATTTCAAGTTAAAGGTCAATAAATACCGTTGTTAATATATATCTATGTATTAATGAGTGGAACTACTTATTTTTATAATTGAAATACCTACTTGAATTAATAAATGAGTAGTTTTCATTGTTCGTGAATATGTTTTTGGTATCGGCGAGACCGCCGATAATTGCATTGCTATTGCCAATAACTGTGATGATTGGTGTAAGTAATTATGACACACATGGTTATAGGCAAAATACCAACAAGTAAGAAATCAGCTACACCCAAAAAATACGAACATCAACAGCAATAACAAGGTCTTCTATTCTATCTTGTTTATCTATTTTGCAGACGTTAAAAATATAGAAGCTTGGTAGAAGCCAACGAGCGAGAAGAAGAGAGAGACGGATGAAGACACACATGCAGAAGAAAAAAGAAAAAAAAAAGATTTCTTTATCTACGTCATCAACTGATCGTGGTACGATTCGAATGCTTGACGCTAGGCAATTGCAAAAGAAGCAGTTTTATGTTTGTTTCTGCCGTTAGCTACGAACAAAAAAAAGAACGCAAGAGCAACATCTCATTAAGAACACGCGTATATGAGACGCTCTTTTTCCGACGTCTCTACGTTCTTGATGCTTGTTTGCTGCCAATGTTAATCGTTACAACACGGCCTTCTTTCTCTTGCTAACATACCCCATTGAAGACTGTTGGTTTTATGAAGAATAAGAAAAAGGAAGGGAGCAAACTTAAGTATACATTAATATATATATATATATGAAATAACACAATATATATATAGAGAGAAAAGAAAGCATAAATTTACTTTTACTTTTTTGTTTTACAATACATCTTTTCTATTATATTCAAGGTTTGATACTATCAAATAAATACATCATCAATACTTACTTAATATTGTTTGATCTATCGCCGACTGATCAGATATATTTTTCTGCCTTATTACTGCATTAAAAGACGACGACACTCGTTCAGCCATAAGCGCGAAAATGTTGAAGCAGCATTCACAACTTCTCTTTTTTTTTCTGACATTTTCTATTCATCATGGACTAAATATCAAAAAAAGACAGAAGAAAAAAAAAAGGAAACTTTCTATTCTTTACACATCATCACTAGATCTATCTGTTCATAGTCAATGAAATGTCATTGAGTAAATAAGTTCTAGTCGCATTTTCTATTCATGATTTATTTATAATTAAATATACACATATGTATATATTATCTATCGATATATAGATATATATTTATTGAAATAAATATACGATTATTTTTTTCACAACATTTAAAATAAATAAATAAATAACGAAATAAACATAAGTTTAACGACGTTTTGGTGAAAGTAATTCGTTTGATGCATTAGATAATGTTGAAGATGCTCCAGTAAGTACTTCATCAATAAATGATGAAAAATTGTGTATATAAGAACCACCAAGTAAAATTCTAGCACCCTGTTTGTTCATCATATGAATATGACATGATTCTTCGTATGTTATTCCGCCAATAACATAGACAATAATTTCATTAGGCCTATAAAAAATTCCAACGGAAATTGAAATCTATATATAAATATAAGTTGACTATACTTTACTTAATTATTTGTCCTTGTTGCTGTAATTGATTCTGTTGATTTGTTGTATAACGATTACTTTGTTGTGTTTGATCTTTTGGAATAACACTCGGATATAAGGTGTCCTTGAGTTTACCACGTAATAATTGTTCAAGTAAATCTTTTATCAGTGGTATATGTTGTGCATAAACATTATCGACACCCTGAAATATATATATATATATGTATGCACATATTTTAAATTTTTTTTGTTGTTGCATACTCTCATTCCTCGAATAAATTGTCGTGTTATAGCCATTGATGATTGTGTATTAAATAAATCGGCTTGTCGAAATTTTTTACCACCGTAGTCAAGTATAGCTTCAATGAACTAATCAAAAAAGAATCGTAATAATTATCTATTGAATTTTTTTTCATATAAGATTACTTGATTATATTTTTCCGATAATTGACGAGATTTGTGTGCTTCTTTTCTAAGTGTATTAATTTCATTATTACCATGATATTCATAACGTAGTGCATATAAACATAGAAGTCGAACAATATCTTCATCACGAATTTTCTCATCTTTTATTAAATGTTTTATTTTCTATATATTATACAAAAAAGAGAAAATTATCGAAATTTTTCCTCTATATAGAAATACATACTTGAACAATGTCATTATGATCGCTTTGACAAACAAGATTTTGTTCAGTTTCACTAACTTCAAGTAAATGATATAGACCAACAAGACGTGATAATTCACTAACAATTGTAACATGTTTAGATACAGTACCAGAAAGTTTTTTAAATTGTGGATAACTTTCGACAAATGTCTAAAATAATTACATTTTTCTTTGACAGCTCAGGTCAATATACACGATTAACAGACACTATCTAACGATATACTATGTATGTGACATCAGTTATGTTCGGATAATAGACATTATTTTTTTCTACGAAATTAAAGTCTAAATGAATCTTGTAATGATCGATTCTAATCTGACTAGCTATTTTCTATTAGGAAAAATGGTTGAATATGATGTATATTATCGTCGTAGTTAATACAATCAAATACGGATGAAAAAGCATTCGAAATTCTATTATGTATTGTCATAACATCTTCATTCTACGACATGTATAGTGTTTTTTCGATCGTAAACGATTCTTAATACGGAAAATTGCTCTATTTACTAAATCGATCGATCTTCTATTTAAAATTTATAAATAATATTTAATTTCAAACCTTCATATCAGTAATTGATTCAATTTTCGATTGACTTTTATGTTTATCTTGAAAATGTTCCATTAAACCTTTTATATTCGTTGCTATTTCACCAAAATTACTATAAAGATTCTATAAATAGAATAAAAAACAAAGCAAATAATTATTATATTTCAAAAGTATTCTATACCGTTGAATAAAATTCATCGTATTCAGCATTCATTACAACTTCTTCAAGTTCTTTTGTAATTCCTGGTACTTGACTAAGATTAACACGATTATTTTTTATTCCAATTAATTCATGAACCATTGCTTGATATGTCCACTAATCAAAGTAAGAAATAAGTTTTTTCTAATTCTATAAAAACTAAATCTAACTTGATTAAGTAATGGTGTTATTGCATCTTCACGTCGATCAAGTATTAAAACTATTGTTTGATTTGTATCATTATTATTTAAGGAAGTAAAATCAAATTGACGTTTAAGTATACTCTATCAAGAGAAAAAAAAGTTCAAATTTTTTTTCGTTAAATTAATTTATTACAGATAATCTGTCAGCAAGTGTTCTTGCCATATTCGATGAATTTTGATATCGAATTATTGCACTTTTTTTTCTTATTGAAAGTATTAATGAAATAAGTCCTTGTACTGTTCGACGAAGAAGATTATCATTCCATTCATAATTTTTCTAATAAAAAAATAACGATATAATATAAGATAGATTTCAATTATCATATATTATTAGACTTGATAAGTAATTGGAATGTTAAGTGTATATAAATGTGGATTTATTGCTAGATAATCAGCATAAAATTCTTGTACAACTCGTACACATTCATATTCATCGGCTTCAGCTAAACTTTTAATATCATTCATTTCAACAAAATTACTAAAATCTATATTAAAGATTTTTCTTTTTCTTTGTGATAGCAAAACAAATCTTACAAATAAAATAATTTCCATATTTTGGTTCATGTAATTCACGTATTAATGCTTGAATATTTTCTTCAGTGGGTCTTAAAAAGCAAATGGCACTTAGATTTTTCAATGATTTTTGCCCGGCAACATCAATACGTTCGAAAAGAAATACTTGTTTTTGAAGTATTTCCGATTGAGCATAGACCATACTCACAATCGATGCCTTTTAGAAATAAAAAAACACGAAAATATATTCTAATGATTTACAAAATACAAACTGTTTCTTTATCCATAACAAGTCCTTTAATACTTTGACCACAATCATCAATCATTCGATTGATATAGAAACGAACAGCTTCAATAACATTAAGATTGGTCATGATATTTTTAAAAAAAGTTTTAGTTGTTGAAATAAAACTGATATCTGAGATAACAAAATATGAAGATTCACAGCACAGACAAGTCTATCAAACAGATAGTTTGAGCCAATTATAGAAAAGAAATAAAGGAGGGCGCTAGTTACATTTACTAAAAATATTAAACAAAAATCTTTGATAAAATTAATGTATTGACATATTCTTATATGGTTAAAACAGTCTGTTTAATATAGAAATCAAAACTATTAACACTTATGTTCGATCAATGTCTACATGATTTATTTTATAACAACTGTTCTTATATGATTACCTAATGATTCGTTACATCATTATTATCGACAAACGTTTTTTCTAATCGAATGTAATAACATAGATGACAAAATTTTTTATGAATATTACATTTCGCATTTTATGTACTAAATAATAAAAGATAGAATGTTTATTAAATACCAGTAAGAAAAATGTTCGCTAAACAATGCCATAATAATATAAAGATTTTAACTACTCGAAAGATATTTTTAATGCGATGCAAAGCAAAGAATTTATGTAGTCCTTCACGGTTTTCTTCCTTTCTCGACGGCCGCATTCAGAATTACCATTTTGTATTGTGATTGTTTCAGGAACGGAACATCAGAAAATACTCATTTAAACGAGAGATCAATATCAAGATCGAACTGATTTTGACTTCTTTTTTATTCCGAGGTACTTAAAAACGAAAAGCAATCTAACAAATGTTTTACAGTTGATGACAGATAATGAATCACCGGTGTTCTTTCAAAATCCATTTTCTCAAACGAGTTTTGACTCGTGTGCGATCTAGTTTGTAATTTGAAGACACGCATACAAAATTATATCATTTTTTCAAACAAAGAACAACATACAATCCAAAGTTATTTTCATGAACAATTATAATGTAATCTTCGACATTTTTTGTTTTCTAAATATTTTTACAAAAGAATCAAGCTATCAGACAAAAACTTTTGTGAATTGAGTGGATACTAGTTGGACTGATTTTACTCAACGTCCAAAACTAGTCTTGCTCTTTATGATTAGAACCAATTGAAATAGGATTCTGTTATGAATAGTAATACTTATTGTTCCGCTCTACATTACTGTAGAAGTCTAACTATTCAGAAAGAAATGACTTGAAAACCTGATTTTTTTTGAATAATTTTTGTAATGATTTGTTTTTTCCTGATCAATCATATCTATGTTTATAATGATGAAACAGTTTAATAAATTAGTCAGCTTATGATCAAAGCCGAATTACATATAAAATCGTACGAATAATCATATCTGCAAAAACGTTCAATATATGAAGTAAAATATTCTCAATATTTCAGAATAATTTGTCTAGCAACAGGTCAGATTGTACTAACATTCGTCAATCATGAAATTAATGATCTTATGTTTTTTTCTCAATTCATTTGTCTGACTGTTTCTTGGGAATAAATTCTATTGCATCTTATAAAACATCTGTGTTTGATTTTTATTGATTATAACGACGAACACAATATTCATGTCCATTATATACCATTTGATATCAATAAAACAATCTTGATAAAAACGTGGTGTACAGTTGCTGTGTCGATTCTGTCATTTTGAAATTGACGTCATTTTTTTTCGGGTTTTTACCTTTCAGTAGGTAATTGCAACATCATGTG